GGCACCGCTAGAGAAAGCTGGTCGCTGCCGCTGAAGGCGCCTCGGCGGGCTGGCTGGCCGGGCCTCCCCTTCCCTCCTCGGCCCCCCCTGATGCCTGCGTTGTGTTTCCCGCCGGGAGGGCGCGTGGGGGGGGGGCGGGGGGGCGGGGCCGGAGGTGGCTGCGGCGGGGGCGGCTCCGGTCTTCCCGCTCCAGCAGTGCCGGACCCCGCCTTGGGTCCAGATCACAATGTTGCTACCCGCCAAAATCTCGGACGACGTTTCCTTCTGTTTTGGCCGAAAGCGACCCAAACCCAGGTCTTCTCATCCCTAAAGGACGTAAAGAGCAGTGATAGCCTTTTGGGGCCATGAGAGAGAGAAAAAAAGATAATTCGAAATACTTTTTCTTAGACCAACTGAAGTTTTATAATCGCTGTAAACGTTTGAGCCAGGGAAGAGAAAAAAAGGCACAGATTGGTAAACGTTAGGAGAAATGAGACTACAGTACCACATTCACCCTCTGCGCCCCCAAACTCAGGAATTCTGGGTTTTTTTCCCACAGGTATTTTATCAACTTCCACATGTTTTGGACTACAGAGCCCCTCATCTGCTGTGGTGATGGACACTGAAGATCAATGTATTGTAAGGCACCAAGTTGGAAAAGACTTTGGTGGGGCTGGAACATCACAAAAGTCAAGTTTAATTCATTGTCCTTATAAAGAAAGCCCCCCCCCCCCAAAAGGTGTCCTCTGGCACTGTAAAATATATTCCCGAATTGTAGCATTAACAGACTCGCAGTCCATCTTATCTTGTGCAACTAGAATGGTCAGTTTGGGGAGGTGGAGGATTGGAGCAAACCATTGGATAAAGTAAATCAAGATATCACCAGAGGTTTTCAAAACATGGAGCTGCATTTAGATATCACTGCCAGGCTGTACTCCAACATTTATTTATTATTTTTATAATTAGATTTATATCCCACCTTTATTTTGCACAACTCAAGGCAGTGTGCATAAAGCTCCCACCTCTTAATTTCCCCATAACAACAACTCTGTGAGGTGGGTTGGGCTGAAGGAGAGTGACTGCCCCAAATCACCCAGTCACCTTTCATGCTTAAGGGAGACCTAGAATTCACAGTCTCCCAATTTTTAGTATGGCAGATTAACCACTACCCCATATACAGAAATCTTCAAAGATACAACATTCATATCTAAAATATATGTTTTTGCTGATTTTAGCACTGAAGAGTTCTAATATAAAAAGGAAGATATAGCTACTCCTGCTCTGTTGATAGTATTGTTGTTTCTGAAGAGAATCTAACTTCTGACCAGAGCAGGAAATCTTCAGGTAAGTCTCTTTCCAGCCAAAAATGTTGTTATCAACATTTGCCAAAAGTAATAGAAGAACAGCCTCTCAAATCCAACTTGGGTTCTCTTCACAAAACACAGTGGACTATAAACTATGACTAACAAATTATAATATGCCTCAGTAAACACAAACCAACCAGAATCTGGCTTAATGGATCACTGGCTTCATATAACACTCTAAAACAGTGTTTCTCAGCCTCGGCAGCTTGAAGATGTGTGGACTTCACCTTCCAGAATGCTGGCTGGGGAATTCTGGGAGTTGAAGTCCACACATCTTCAAGTTACCAAGATTGAGAAACACCTAAAATATATTGGGGTTTATTTGGCTTTGACTCAGCCAATGTGATTTGTTAGTCATGGCTTATGTTTAGCATGTTGTGTGAACATAGCCTGACTTACAAAAATCCAAGCATGCAGGAAAAGTAGTGGGGAATGGTATTGCAAGAAGAATAAATATTCTTTTTAATAATATTCATGCAACAGTCACACACAGCATTTCTTGACATAATAACCAGCCCTGCATTCTGTGGCTTTGATTCCAGGATTTTCAGTGCTAGACTAGAAAACAGAGGCAAAAATGTTCAGCAAGTAAAAAAGTGTCTTTTCCCACAGACCAAATTATTGCAACCAGCCTAGAAGGTTTGTGCATGGTTTTGCAGGACAATGAGTCACCTCTGCACACCATTGCTTCCTTCACTCAGTCATTGCTTCAGTGCATTACTGTCATCTTATTCTTCTTCTTAAGATTATCAAAACAATGCACGATATTCACACTACCCTATAAAATAGGTTAGTCTAAGAGACAGTGAAGTAGCAAGATTCACAGGGAGAAAAGATCTGAAGCCAGTCTGCTGAAGCTCTATGCCATGCTGACAGTAATTCAAACGTTACATAATTTCCTCCATCAAGTTCCTTATTGCCCCTTCTCAAATGAAAGGGAGGGGTAGCTTACAGGAAGCACTGTTGCCCCTTTGAAGCAAAGACAGGTATGTGTATTCATAAGTCACCCGTTGGGGAAGATGGGCGGCATACAAGTTTAACAATAAATTAAATAAATAATTATTGCAATTAAACTGTACATTTCTATTCTTTTTCCATTTCACAGCAGCCCTGTGAGGTTGGTCCTTCATGATTTCAATCTACTTCTAACTGCTAGAATTTAGTACAGTAGCCACCAGAAACTCCTTCTTAGGGATGACACCATGGAATTGTACTATCTTCTCTAATTCTTTTGTCTTCTGCTTTCATGAGCTGATTAGATCTTCTCTGCTTGAGCTTTTTATTATCTCCCACAGGAGGTACAGCTGGCCCCCACTTAAAACAAGTATTAAAAAACAACTGAACTATGTCTTCTCTTGGCTTCTGCAGGCAACAGTTGCTCTGGACCAGACTGCCTCTTAAGGGAATCTTACAATTACTGTCCTTTATTACTGATTGATAACAACAATTTGGTAAAATAAAGATTCTTTTATTCTTTTTTTTAATACACTTTTGGGATGATGATGATGATGATGATGATGATGATGATGATGATGATGCTGCTGCTGCTGCTGCTGCTGCAAACTAATAACCATTTAGCCCATAATAAGCCAGACATGACTGTATGGATAATTGGCATTGCAGTAGCTGGAGATGGAAGAGTCAGTCGAAAGAACTAGAAAAAATAGGGAAATATAAAAACCTTCAATAAAGATCAAACAAATGTGGGAAAAAATAAGTCATGGTGGTGCTAATAGCGACTGGTACACTTAGTCCCATACCAAAATATCTGGAAAAGCACTTGGACACAATAGGAATAGATAGAATCTCGTCAGTTACAAAAAGTTGCATTATTTGGAACAGTGCATACATTACAATGATATCTTTAACTACCCTAGATCCTTGGGAACAACCCAATAGTCAAAAGTACCAAATCCAGTCAGCATTGGCTGGTAGCCTATGTAAATAACAACAACAACATTTAACTTTTTTTAGATCTTCTGCGTTCCCTTTTTAAACTTTGGAACTCATTTGCTCTCATTTTATCATTTGTTGCTATTATACAGCAGCTAAGAAAGATTAGTCATGTTTACAAAAAAGCAAGATATACACATTGAAAGCAAACGTTTTACAGGTAAGGCATTAAAACAAAGTTGCTCAATCAACCAGGTCCATATGGAGGCTTTGCATGTAACCGAACTGCATTGGGAAAATGAGGAGGCAGACTTGTGGTTTCTCCCTGGTGTGATCACGTGAGTTTTCACATCTTGCAGATACTGGAAAGGAAAAATACGAGGGTTCCCATATGCTTATCACTGAAAAACAAGTCTGACACCATAACCAGACAAGAAATCCTCATTTACTCTAGCAAACCTCTAGTTCTTAAGAAAGGTCACTGAGCAGAGCTTGACTCTTAGTGACTTCATGGGTTTCATGTTTCACTGAAACAATGTGGAAGTGGTTTGCCATTGGTTTCTTCCAAAATGTTTTCGTAAACTTCCCACCTAGCTTACGGCCTGGTATTTCCTGGTGGTCTCCCATCCAAGCACTAACTCTATCCCTTAGCATTTTTGCGATCAGCTGTGGCTGGCTGGGTGCTTACACAGCCACCAGTCTCTTATTCCTTCAGCCCCCCTCCCCACTTTCTCAGCAGGAGGCGAGGGATTCCTGCATCCAGAGATAAGTACAGCCTGTTCAAGGGACTCCCTCCTTCCCACATATCAGCCTCAAGAGGGGAGCTCACATGAACAACCAATCATGACTTGTGAAAGAATCAGAAAGACTTTTATCTCTTTAGACATCTTTCGCGGCTATCTGGGCTACCCTGCCTCCACCATCTGGAGTGGGAAAGGGCTCTTACTCAACAGGGAAAAAGAGAGCCCCCCCCCCCCCCAACATTTTCGCCTCCTCCGCATCCATCCCCCCCCCCCCCCCCCCCC